TGATGATTTTTATTCAAATATTTGAATTTATTATATGTTTTACTTTTAGATTTAAAAAATTATTTATACTTACTAAATGCTATTTGGATTAATTAATTAAGATCTATGTTGAAAATTTTTAATGCAATTATGAAGCAATCAATTTTATTTAAAGAATATCTAAAATTATAATGAATGTTTATCCTCGAAAATGTAAATTAGACGTATAACTAAGATATTTTTATAAGAGTTCATGTAAGAAAACTAGAAAAATTATATAAAGAATAAAAATTCATCTAAAATATTTCGAACAAAAGATAGATATGAACATCAGTATAGGTTGATTCAAGTAATAAGTAGTTTGATATCGTTTAAACATGTTTCGAGTCTGATGTATTGTGTATACAAAAAATACTCATCATCATAGCTAATGATAAAAAAACATATCAAAAAGACAAATGAAAACATACTATAAAAACAAAGGAAAACGTGTTATAAACGCCAAATGTTACTGGTCATCTTCTCAAAGACATTAGATACTTCGATCGACTTCCTCTTACACTATTTATTTAATTATACTTGGTAAAATTATTTTTTCTCTAGATTTATGAGTATTTTTAGCATTTTTTTTAAATATATTTAATTGTATATTTTACTAACGTTGATATTATGGAGTTGCCTTAAACAAATTCCATCTTACACATGGTACTTTGGGCCAATTTGGCCCATTTCGACACCCGAGTAAATTATTTAGCCCATTAGGACAAGTCAAAATTTATTTTGAGATCTATGGTCTTTTCTACAATAGAACTCGTCCAAATTTTGACTTGCCCTAATGGGCTAAATAAAAACTTATATGCCCTAATGGGCCAATTTTGCCGGTATTTTGAGTGCAAAGGCCCTTTGAATTAAGGGCTTAAATGAACGGCATAGGAAGATGGGTCCGCTATTATAAGAAAGCCTTCTAAAGGAAGAAGCGGATGGGATGATTCGGATTTTAAAGCAAATTAAAGCATTCATCACCTTCCCAAATTAAAGCATCCATTACAGACAACCAGTTTCCGAACGCCTCATGAAGTTCATTTTTAGTTGTTTTATTACTTAAGACACCATGACTTTACAATCTCTTGAGACTTTTCTTTCTAGCATCCATTTTCTTCTTGTCTGCAAGAACTTTCGGCAAACCTTCCTTCTTAGGTGCGGCACCTGATATTCCTACAATGCCGGTTCCACCAACCCCGGTTTCACTTGCAGGAGCAGTAGACTGTTGATGCTGGTGGTCCGGGTTGCTGCCTCCTTTTGTCGATGCGGTTGATGGAGCGAGCGGGGTTGGCAATGATAACCCGGCACCGCTTGCTGCATTCTTCTGCTCAACATTCAGAACTGAGGTGTTACGCTGCTCCACATTCAGTGCTGTAGTTGACTCGCTAATAGCTCCTGATTTGAACTTGGGTTTCGGCTTCGCATGGATTCCAGTATAAAGCCTGTGTTAAGGACAGAAGATTGTGAGAACTGCATGCCGATTAAATTCCTTAAAGAGTGTATCACTAATACTATAATATCATGTAAGGCGTAATAGAATACAAGAATTGAAAGCTTGATCGATCGTTTGTAGAAGTCAAATAACAAAAGTAATAATTTTGTAAATAAGTTTATTCCCTTCCAGCTAAAGGTTCTATATTTCCGCATCGCAAAATATTGAAGACCTAATGAAGGGTCTAAATGGGTTAGGCAAGCCTCACCTGGCATGTCGGGCATACTCATCATAATTTTCAAGCAGCATCTTGCCAGCCTGTTCATTTAGAGCTGATTCTGGAAATGGTTCAATCAATAAACACCTAACTACCTGCAGTGGCATTAAGCAGTGCCGAGGAAGATAAAAAACATGAAGCTAAAGATCTAAAGCTGGATTAACGAAAGAAATTTGCAGTCCCTGGGCAGTTCTGATCAAACAAAATGATAAAAAAAAACAGATACAGAATGAAGTCCGGGTCCAGTGGAACTTACAATGAGCACATGTCGTAATCCAAGACTTGGGTTCCAATCCTTTTTTAGTGTGTTTACGCAAATTTCACCATTGGTTGCGATATTAGGATGGAAAATCTTCGTCAGGAAGTAGCCTGCAGTACCAAAGGACTTCAGAATATTCACTATTGCACAAAATAGAACATTTTTCAACATATATTTGCACCACAAACAGAATCATATTTCAGAAGCCTAATATGACCAAGGTTTTATTTACCACAATACTCTGTTAAACATACCTTTTGGAGGAGAATGAGGGAAGTCGTGAGACAGTAATAACTTCATACGGAAAACACCATTTTCATACGGAGTCCCAGCTGCAAAGCCAAAAAATACTCAATAACGAAAAAGAAACAAGCAGCGGCAAAGGAAGTAAAATTGCCTGGACAGAACTACATGCCTGGCCCTTCAATGTCAGCATAAATGATCGAAAAGTCATCATCATTTACACTAACTTTAATGCCTTCCGGAGGCGATTCATCAAGACTCTTCAATTCCTTTGCCAGTTGCTTTATAACGTTTGGTGGAAGATTTTCATTAGTCGCCTAAAAAACACAATCAAACAATATAATCATTCCTAAACGATAAAATAATGATTTCAAAATACAAGTTAATGGAAATACCATACCGTATATAAGTGTGGGTGTGTGGGAATATATATTAATCCGAATCTATGCCTAAGTCTTTCTTAGCTAACTAGGACAAAGAATAACATGCAACTAACAATTGAACAAATAATTGGTGCTATGCAAATGGCAGAAACTTACCATGCTAAGGGAAGAACAAGATGCTAGAAGAAAAGGCTCAGAAAGTTGGTAAGACTCGTCACAAAAGCTCAACAACTTTTGTACTTACTTACAGTGAGAAAGGTGAGAATTCTGCAATTACAAAACAAGCCATAAAAATAGGTCAGAAGACGAACAGAGTTCATATTTTACACTCCAAATGAAACAAAAACAAATGGAATTCCATTTTCATTTGCAATCAAGCAGGCACAACTAGCATCAAATGATTTTCAAAAGCTTAAATATGCAGCACAAAATAGTCAGAGCAAAGATAATATCATTCGCAAATTACATTTAAACTACCAACTGCTTATGCATTCTCTTTCTGGAAAATAAAGTTTTTCAGCTTTCAATTGAGTCTAACTTAGCATCGGGGTTTGTACTTTGTGTATCGTTGAAAAAGAATAGCAAATGAACAAACTGTTTGAAGCATGCAGTGGCTCATGCATTATATTCCTATAATCAGCATCTCAAAAACTATTAACATACAATCAAAACCCCAAAAAGGGTTTTCAATCCAACAAATGAATCTCCAGAAAACAAACCTAAATGAAGCACCAAGTCCAAGTCTAACACGTTTCACAGCAACTCAGTGCGTATTAGAAAACGAGAAAAAGGAAAAACCCATAAAACAGATCAACAAAGAAAAGAATCTGTAACATACCCATTTCACCACGAAAGCATAATCATCGAAAGAGAGAAAGAATCGACCATTCTAATTTTCCTTTTTTTACCCAACAGAATCATTAAATTAAACCCCAAAAAATAAAAAATAAAACCCCCAAAAAATAGATAAAGAAACCGAGATCGAACAAGATTGAAGAAATTTGAGCAAGGTTACCTTAGGGCTTTACGCACAAAAGCCTGAGGAAGGCGAACTCTCTCTCTCTCCTCTTTTTCTTTCGCCTTGGGTATGAAATGGAATGATTGATTGGTTGATTTTGAGGAGAGCTGTTTATTTATTTTTATTTTAAATTTAATATATTGTATTTATTTATTCGAAAAATGAAGTGGCACAGCCTCAATAGTACCGACCGTCAATCAATGCCTGTTGTCCCCAAGTAGGGTCCACTTTCTAATTTTATATTATTTTTTCAAAAATAGTCCTTGAAATTGACACAAATTAATTATTAAGTATATTTTTTATCGGCATGAGAACGGATTAAAAAGGATTTTTTTATAATTTTTGGATAATTACGAGAAATAATAATAATTTATTTATTAAAGTTAATGCGAAAATTATTTTATTTGAATAATTTTTTGAAATTGATTTTTTAAAAATTAAAGTTTGAGTCAGTTTAGGTCAAGCTATATAAATGATGAGGTTAGATATAATCAAGTTTAAAGTAAAAATCTATGATACAATTAAATTTATTTACCTAATATAAAAAGAGTATAATATACAAATGGTCCATCGATTATAATGCTATGTTTTTTTAGTCACCCAATTATTAAAGTTACGAAATTATCCTTTGACTATAGGACAATACTTTTTTAAGTCTACCGACTATTAAAAACTAAAAAATTGTCATATGATTATTTATATGTTCTAAACTCATCATTTCTACTAAAAAGTTGACTGTAATATGAGTCGGGTGTTAATCTGTTGACTGTGATATGATAAAATTTGATCTCAAAATCTTAAACGACTATCATGTCTAAGTCAACAAGTTAATATCCAACTTAAATTGCCGATAATTTTTAACGAAAAATGACAAGTTTATGATATATGAATAATCGGATGATCATTTTATAACTTTTAATATTCGATGGACTTAATAAAGTAATATCTATAGTTAAAAAATTATTTTTTAACTTTTAATAATCGAAATATTCAATAAAACATCCTCTTATAATTATGGACTATTTATATACTTTACCCTAAAATAAACTCATCTATCAAATTGAATATAAAAAATAAATTAAACTTTTAAATTCATTTATAATAAAGAATAAAAAGGGAAGTATTCGTTGAATCATCTTCATTCGTGACGTGGAAAAAATTCAGCTTTTTTTTTAATTCTCGAATTTCAAATTTTAATATAAAATAATATTAGTTGACGATTTATTTTTAGAGGGTCCCACTTGGTGACCGTTAGAGGCTCCTCCTCAATTAGCCGTTACTCGCTTTCTGCATATTTTATTTCTACTTTTTTATATGTTTACTTAATTAATCTTTTTGTTTTTTTCAAATATTATCGGCAACATTAACGTCTTCTCTAATCGCCGGAGACATCGACGCTATGCCGGAATCAGAGCTTAATCTGATGTCGCTACGCCGGAAGGCTCATCCCTCTAGCTTCTCACCCTCTTTATCGGACTCTTTTCCTCGCCGATCCAGTTCAGACGACGACGAAACAGATGCAACAATTGGGTAAGTTACGGTCCGAATCTGAGTCGAGGAATGTAACTGATAAATACAAATTAATCTATATGCTTTATTGTCGATCAATAGATCAATATCGATAGTTATATATAAAATAAAATCTATTTCTACAACCTTGCAATCGTTGCATCAACGCGATGATTCTTGTGTTTGGTTTCTTGTGGAACCCTTAGTGTTAAGAGTTTCAAAATCTCTCTTATGCTCTGTTTCTCCAATTGTTTAGGTTATTTCTTTACATGTGCTTTTCTTTGTTGCATTAGGTTAGAGAATAAGCGATTTCAAGGCCAATCGACAAGGAGACCACCTTTCTTTGATGGTTCTAACTACTTGTATTGGAAGACGAGGATGGAGCTATTTATTCAAGCCAACGATTACGAAGTATGGAGAGTTATCACCCATGGACCAAACATTACAATGAAGAAAGAAAAGGGATCAAATGTGCCAAAGGATGAAGATGAATGGGATGCAAATGAGATCAAGATGATGCAACTAAATTACAAGGCAATGCACATTTTATATTGTGCTCTTGGACCTCAAGAATATAGTAGGATGTATTTGTGTGATAATGCAAAGGAGATGTCGCGAAAGATGTTGAATAGCCTTCCAACTTCATGGAGAACAAAGGTGACGGTAGTAGAAGAATGTCACGACCTCAACAAGTTATCTCTCGATGAACTCATTGGATCCTTGCTCAGTTATGAGATGAGACTAAATTACGAGAAAATGTTAAGGAAACTACAAAGATCGTCGGGAAGTTAGGGAGATATCAAAATTCTCAAACTAAAATTAGGACAAGGACTCAATTTCTAGTACAAGGATCATCACATATTTAAACATTTTCCCCATAAATTTCTTGTTTAACTATGCTTTTTGTTGGTATGAACATGTTCAAGAAAAGGAATCAAATGTGCCAAAGGATGAAGATGAATGGGATGCAAATGAGATCAAGATGATGCAACTAAATTACAAGGCAATGCACATTTATATTGTGCTCTTGGACCTCAAGAAGATAGTAGAATGTATTTGTGTGATAATGCAAAGGAGATGTCGCGAAAGATGTTGAATAGCCTTCCAACTTCATGGAGAACAAAGGTGACGGTAGTAGAAGAATGTCACGACCTCAACAAGTTATCTCTCGATGAACTCATTGGATCCTTGCTCAGTTATGAGATGAGACTAAATTACGAGAAAAAGTTAAGGAAACTACAAAGATCGTCGGGAAGTTAGGGAGATATCAAAATTCTCAAACTAAAATTAGGACAAGGACTCAATTTCTAGTACAAGGATCATCACATATTTAAACATTTTCCCCATAAATTTATTGTTTAACTATGCTTTTTGTTGGTATGAACATGTTCAAGTAAGCATGAGTAGGAATTGCAAATCGGACACAAGGGGCATGAGTAGTGCAAACCAGTCATGTTATGGGCACAAGGTGCAGTTTGGGTGTTATAACTCATATATTGCAAAATGGGAATGTAAAGCCATAGCTTATAGATGGATAGATATTGCCTTGCAAGTATTTAATTAACTGTCTTTTATCATGTTCATGTTCCGGTAAATAATATCCATAGGCATATGTTCATCTGAGAACTCTCCTACATTCTGCAACCTGCACAATTAGAGTAGCAGCCATGAGCTAAAGTAACATGAATATCCATTTATTGGTTGTACCGGTCGCGAAATTTTATTTGTGCTCATCCCGTATAAAAATTTTACGTTGTTAATATATATATGTGTCCACCCTAACAAATATTTATGGATCCGCCATTAGTAATATCAAGCTATTGAGCCAAGCAAATTTTGGAAATCACCTGAGTGATGAACTTTAGCTGTTACTCTGGTTTGGCATTGTATGTCACTCAGCTTCTCAAGCTGCAATTGACACAAATGAGTTCAAACAAAGATTCATGCATGAGGTCGTGTTATAGGCACCTGTCCATTTTGAAATTCAAATTTTTATACTGTTCATTTTATTGATGATGTTCACTTTGAAATTTTATCTGTACCACCTCATATAAAAAAGTTATGTTATTAATATATATGTACACACCTAAAAAATATTTATGTATCCGTCAGTGAATATCACACTATCAAAATGTGATAAATAACTGAAAAAACTATCACCTTCAAGCTGATTGTAAGATTTTCTTCAACCTAACACATGTTTTAATGGTTTTAATATCTATTTATTTCTTAAATCCTTCTGAAAACTTGTTCAATTCCATGAGTGTGAAACCTCTAACGTTTCTTCGCACTTGCTCATTCTATTTGTACCAATATGCAGAAATGGGTACCCTCAACAATCAACATCATCTAACTGTATAATAAGCTATGTGTATACTAAGTAATAGTATTAGTAAGATACCAAGTTAACACATACTGAATTAAAAAAATATATATATCAAATTCAGGATCCAATTTGAGATAGAAAAATTGGGGTACCAATTTGAAAAGAGTTACAAAGTTCAATACTAATTTGAAAAGTGTTACAAAGTTCAATACCAATTTGTATAATAAGCCAAAGAAAAACCCTTTCTCACTCTCTATAGCCTGCCTGCTCGAAGCTTAACAAATGCTCTTACTTCAAAAGTCATTTTTCTTTCGTTTTTCATCCGAAAATTGAAGAGAAAACGGGTTGGAGATTATGCCTTCGTTTCCACAGCCTGGGTTTGTTACCATCTGCGAAATCAACCGAGATCTAGGTATCCTTTTTTTCTCTCTTTTTGTTGCCTTTTCTTTTAAATTTAATGGTGTTTTCTGCTGCTGTTTTAATGATTAACACCAATAGTATTAATCTACAGTCACCGCCGATACCCTTTCCGATGCTGAAGCCAAGGAAACTTATGGAAAGCTTCTTGTACGTTATTAATTGATTAGCATTTTCATTTTTCTTAAATATATGTAAGCAAAAAAAAATTCAAACATTGGGGATTTACAGGGAATGGTGTTCAATCAGGTTCCATTCCAATCCCTAGAGGATCCCACACAACCTCCACCAACTTCGAATGCTGCCGTTTCTCAACCCAAAGGATTTGTGTGATTTCCCTCCTTTTTTCTACTATTGTAATTTTGAGTCTTTTTTAGTAGGCTTTCACTAATTAAATTTCTCATTGCAGGGAATGATAACTTCCTCCCTCAAACACATTTTTCTACCCAATGATGTGAGTTATTATTTACTTGTTCAATTATTTTTGTAAGCATTTTCTCATATGCATATATGGCGTTTTAGTATTTATTGGTTGTTAATTGATTGGCATGGTGAATGTTTAAGCTGCCCCGAGTAATTAATTTCTTCTTTTTTTAAAAAAAATGTTTTCCTTAGTAATAGGAGTGAGTATTCGATCGAGTCGACTAAAAAAAATTAAAGTCAGTTGAGTTGAAGAGTCTATTTTATAACTCAAACTTTATTTAAAAAAAAATTCGAGTCGAGTTTATTAAATCGAGTTGAGTTGTTCGAGTTTATGTTTAAATTTAATTGTAGATATTTATAATATTATGGTACTATTTGAATCCAATTTAAACGGTTTTCTATATCCATATACAATATACATATATATATTTCTTCATTTTTTTCATATGTGATATACATATACCATGTAGAGTTGAGGGACTCAACTCGAACTTGAAAACCAATCCACTAATTACTAAAAATTTTGAGTTATTTGAGTTATTCTAGTTCTATTTTATAACTAGACTCGAATCTGAAATTTTTTCAAGTTAGTCGAGTTAATGAAATTACGAGATAACGTTTTTAGCATTGAGTTGAGTCAAAAAATTAAGTTTTTTCGAGTCGAGTTTTGCTCACCCCTACTTAGTATACAAATATGCCATCATGATCTGTATGTATCTGTATATGAATCCCGTATCTATGTATATAGTATGAAGCAGTTTGATAATCATATTGGAATACTTATCTATCTTATTGGCAATACTTGTGTTAGATACTCTCGAAAATGTATGTTTAAACATGGCATTAAATGAGTAGGCGGTTGTTGATATTTAAGTCTGCAGTCTCATTTGATAAGTTGTATAGATTGATTTGTTACCAGACGTTGCTCTGCAAGGTGTGAGCTGGCATCAGCACAAACATATTCTTGCATTTATATCTGGTTCTAATCAGGTTACAGTTCGTGATTTTGAAGATTCAGGTGAGCAGCTTATTATATTATTCTATGCAAATTGTTGTTAGCCTTTTTTTGTTTGTTTCACTCCTAGTTCAGTTTGTTTTGTTGAACAAAATCACTTCAGTTTTGAATGATTTGAACAGCAGGGAAGGAGCCGTGCATTTTAACTAGCGAGTCCCAAAGAGATGTTAAAGTTCTAGAGTGGAGACCAAATGGTGGAAAGTCACTTGCTGTGGCATGCAAGCAAGTATCCTGATTTTACAAACTGTTAACCTTTTCCTTCCCATTTATGTCAAATATGGCTGATATTTTCTCAATTATTTATGGCGAACTTCAGGGGTGGAATTTGCATTTGGGTGGCATCTTATCCCGGGAATGCAGCATCAGTTAGGTCTGGCTCTGCTTCATTCTTGGGAGCACTCTCTAGAGGTTCTGGGACTCGGTGGACTCTAGTGGACATTTTTCGAAGTCCTCATGATGAACAAATAAGTGCACTTTCTTGGAGTCCAGATGGAAGATATCCTTACTTCTTACTCACCTGATATTTATATCTTATTGCTTTAATTCATTGTGCTTGGGAGTCGGAGCTTGGAGTGGGAATGTGGTTGATTTAAATATTCAAATGTATTGTATTCCATGACATTTTGATACATATTTGGCCTCTGCCTCATATGAAAGCTCGTCGTTCACAATCTGGGATGTTGCCCAAGGTAATCTTTTTTTTTCAAGATTAGTAACCTTTTGATCACCCTCTAATTTTGTGCAAATCCACTTAGGAGAAAGTTAGAAACTTAGTTGGGAGTTTTGAATAGGCTTGATTAGTTGCTTTTAAGTCTTAATCTTATGATTTTTTGTCAAAAGCTGCAGACTTTTTTATCTCTGAGTATCAAATACTTTATATTGGATTATGGAGTTATAGCTTCATGTACAGCACAGTCATTGGATAGAAAAACCATGGACTAAACGTTAGATGCGACTCCTAAGGAACCCTAGCACGAAGCTGATGGGTTTATTTGTTAAATTTCTCTTTTCCTTGAATCCCTAAATGATCATCATTGGTTCCATACTATAAGCAGTTTGCTTAAAATATATTTCTACTGTCATCTTAAATATATATTCATTTAGATATTATTTCTTCTGGTATTTTGATCAATATTTTGGATGGATTTTGCAGGTATTGGGACACCCATTCGACGGGGATTAGGGGGAACATCAGTGGTTAAATGGTCTCCAACTGGAGATTACTTTTTTTCTGGAAAATTGTATGTACTTAACATGTTCCCTAAGCTTTATGTCTATTTCCGATAAAAAAAAATCTGCTAATGTCTCTATCGTGTTGTAGTGATGGAACCTTTTATCTTTGGGAGACAAACACATGGACTTCTGAACCATGGTCTTCAGCCAGTGGTTTTGTCACCGTAAGTATGATTATTTTTAAACCATGTCGGAATGATGGAACTTGCTGACATGACAGTAGATTTTACCTGTTTAAAATTTTAGTGATCAATCATTTGTTGTTATCAGGGTGCAACTTGGGATCCTGATGGTCGTATGGTTCTGCTTGCTTTCTCCAAGTCTTCAAAATTGGGTTCTATACACTTTGCATCAAAGCCTCCATCATTGGGTATGTAAGCTGTAATTAACGAATTTTAGCTATCGATCAGCCCATTCTTTTTCTGTAATTAACCATCTTTCGAAATTTGGCCTTCTGGTGACATTGAGGATTGAAATTTACATTCTATGGTTACTTTTGTTTTTCTCTAGAAATCAGAAATAAGAAAAATCTTTTACTCGCATCCTGTGTCCATGACTCTTACCTTGCAACGAGCCTTCCTTTATACTTGCTTTCATGTTTTAAATGAATTATCCGTATTAGCCTCTTGAATTTTATTCAGTTGTAGACAGATGCATAGTAATGAAAGTGACATTTAAATAATTTCCTGCTCTTGATTCTCTTCAGATGCCCACTTATTACCAGTTGATTTGCCAGAAATATTATCTTTGACTGGCAGGTATGTGAAGTTGGTTTTCTGGTTTGTTTTATTTTTTAATTTGTAATTCTGCAGATATTTATTTTTAAAATAACTTGAGCTGGTCAAGGTACCAGCTTCATGGTAAGCAAGGGTAACTTATAAATGGAAGCCTCAAATTCAAATCATCCCCGACCCACCTACTTTTTTCCTTTTTCTTTAAAAAAAGAGCAAAGAAATAAAGGATCTTTTTTGAATTAGCTAAAAGTAAAAAGCAGTGGAGATGCTTGCATGTCATTCGGGGGTCTATAAGCTTTTCCCATTGCTGATTTTACTAGCTCATATAATCTCAAATATTTTATTATGCAGTCAGGGAATCGAGAAGATGGCCTGGGATGCTTCTGGAGAGCGATTAGCAGTGTCATATAAAGGAGGGGATGACATTTACAAAGGTCTCATTGCGATATATGATACGAGGAGGAACCCCTTGATTTCTGCATCGCTAATGTGAGTCACAGCTTCTCTTACTATGTACTTGTCCTTTTGGTTAGGAAAATATGTACTAGACACAGCTATCGTGGAGCATTCCATGATATTCATTTCATTCCAAGACAAAAAACCTAATATATCACTCCTTTCTGGTTTATGGGTGGAGTGGAGAGGGATGTAAGGGTACGACTCCCTTGATTTCTGCTCCGCTTCTTGCCTCGTGTTTTTTGTTTCTGGTTGGTAAATTGACATAGAAATCAGACCATTCCACGATATCCATTGATAAACAAGTGAAATCATCTAATGTTTTAGACGATTCTTCATTTTAATGCAAACTTATCCCCCCATCCCTCTCTCTCCCCCAATGATATTTATACATTTAACTGCTAATCAATTTTCTTGTTGCTGTAATGTGGATTCAGTGGATTTATAAGAGGTCCAGGCGATAATCCAAAGCCGATTGCCTTTTCCTTTCACAACAAGTTTAAACAAGGACCATTGCTTTCTGTGGTAAACCCTCTTTCATGTCCTTCACTTTTCATTTTTACTCTAATTTGGTCGGAAATTTTTACGGTTTTTATTTGTTTGAAGTAAAACATAAACAATTGAAAAGCAAATTAGAAACATTGGTACGGTTTTAGACATGTGGAGGAAGATATGAATCTGTATAATTCGTACGGAATCCAAATCTCGGCGGTGGGTTGCAACTAGCCGGAAATTCATGTTTCCCGTGGTCCATTTAGATATGTTCTCTCCTTTTTTGTTGCAGTGCTGGAGTAGTGGATTTTGCTGTACCTACCCTCTGCTATTTCGATCCTAAAATCCATCCGTGGTCAAGGTATTTTTACTGTATGCAGTATGCTATGCTTTATTGGCTGCATGACAAATTTAAGACATGAATACTCTTTAAAACCTCTTTAATTTCGATCCTAAACCAGAAATGACTTGTACTCGAAATGACCCAAACTAATCCATACAAAAGAAACAACTTGAACTTGAAGCTGACTTGAACCAGAAATGACCCGAACTAATCCACTAAAAAAAACTTGAACTTGAAACTGACTTGAACCTGAAATGATTCGAAACTTCTGAAACCCGAATTGACCGTAGCGGCTCGATTGACATATCTAGATGAAACTTCAATTAACATTAGCAGTTGTAGAGTTTCGGATTTCAGAATTGGTGGATGTTTCTTTAGACACACTAAATATCTACTTTGTTGCAGGCACTTGGAGGCAACCTATCAATGGCATGATTATGAGAGAACTGTTTAGATGGTATTATTATCATCTTGGAAACTCAAAATTGAACTTTTAAATGTCATTGGTGACTATACTTGTTATAAAATTCGTGACTGAGTTTTATCACGAGTCAAATGAATGTTTAGTTAGAAAATGACTAAAAAACACTTTTTTAAATGGTTATGAAGGAGTATTATAGTAAGGGTGTTTTTGTCATTTTACACTTTCTTTGTAATCTTTAAATAAAAGTACTGAAAATTAATGTTCTAGATTCGAATAATATACAAATCTCTTATCATTATACAATTATAATTAATTTTTATAAATATATATTTTTTACTGAAAATTAATATTTTTTACTGAAAATTAATATTTTCGTTTATAATTATTAACGTGTAAATTTTATTATATAAAATACGAAAAATAATAGTAATCTGAATAAAATAAAAAAGGACAAGTTTTAGTGGCCAAGAGAAAATAGACAACTTTGAAGTAGTTGTGTAGATAGGTTCTCTAAATTTTTTTTTAAATCAATACCTTTAACATTAATTAAAATATAATGATATGGTAAATGTGAAAGTGAGTGTATAGCTAACACTCCATTGACGGTCAAAATTAAAATATACAATTTATATTTTACATTTTTTTATATAAATTTCAATATTTAAAGTTACAAGTTGATATTTAATTTAAAAATTAACATTAAAAAACTAACCTAAAGACGCTAAATAATCTTGGAATCTTTAACTCGATATTGTAGATTTCACCTTAGATAAGGAAATAATCCGGTAAGAGCATTATCTTGGGAATTAAATATTCCCAAGTACATTATTCTGACCATTTTGCCCTTTAATATATCCCTAAATGTTTTTGTACAATTAGCATTTTAATAATTTGATTGTCGAATTTATTAATATTATTTTATTTATTTTATTTATAATTTTCAAATAAGTTTAATATATTTATCATGTTGACTTATAACAATATTTATAGTAATATATTTTAATGATTATTTTTTTACATAAAACAATTATTTTTGTATTCAATTATTAAAATAATAATTCTTAAAAAATTATAAAAGTTTGATTAAATATTTGATACGAGAAGATTTTTTTCCGAATAATTCAAATTGATTCAATTTTTTTATTAATCTAAATTGATTAGAATGTAGTGTTTATTTTAAAAAAAATTAATTAGTTAATAGTTAACTTACATATACTCTAGGCTCTATAATCCAGCTACTTAAATATAAGATTTTTTAAAAGAATTGTTAGTCACTTTTACTATTAAGATAAAAAATTATCAATTTGACTCATTTTTATATAAAAAAATATACATGGATAAACTAGATAAATGATAATTGAGCCTGATTAATAAAATTATAAAATGATCCACTGACCATGTGACATTATTTTGTTGGGTCATCGATTATTAAAAGTTATAAAATATTCATCCGATTATTCATTTATTTCAAACTCATCTTTTTTCTTTAAAAATTAGCGATCTTCTAAGCTAGACATAAACTTGTTGATTAATATATAATAAAATATGATCTTAAAACTATTTGAGTTGAATTTTTTTATACCGATTATCAAGCCAGTGCTTGAAATATTATTACATTTAGTCTGTGCTTAAAAAACAACGACAATACTAGTAGACATCATTAAAATATAATTTTATCATATTTCAATTAACAGATTAATTTTCAATTCATATTAACACTAGTTTTTAAATGAAAATGATGAATTTAAAACACATGGATAGTTGAGTGGTCATTTTGTAACCTTGAAAAGTTAGAGCACTCAACAAATATCAAGAATCATTTTATAATTTTTAATAGTTTGAAGACTAAAACAACATCTTATAATTAGGGGACCATTTGAATACTTTACCCGATATATTTTTAGTACAACTTCATGTATTTTGTTTGAATTTGAAGTCAACAAAGCTGACGCGTGTGACGTGTCCTCCTGTCACAATGACGCGGTTTCTTCGTCCCCTTTACCCAACACCGTCCCATAAAAGCTTCCTTCTTCACATTTTCTTCGCCAATTTACTATCTGTTTGGTATCCAAGAAAATCCCATTAACCGTATGATTCTTTTCTTCTTTACTTTCCTTTACTTTCCCTCATTATCTTCGCACTTTTGTTTCAAGTAAAACAGTTAAGAAAGTTTAAACGCCAGCAGCATCAGATGGCATCACCGGAAAATCAGTCGAGCATCGAAACGCCGTCGTTTCATTCATCCTTCGCCGATTCCTGGATCACCGAAGCCTTCTCTCGCGACAACCAGGCGTTGACTATAGCACTACAAAAGTCAATCTCCGATTCCTTCGTCAACCCCGTCGCTTGGCCCGCGCCCGAAACATCCCCAAAACGACAGCGCACAGCCAATCCGCCGCCGCTGCCTCTAACCGAGAAAATCTCCAAACGCAAGCCGCGGGCTTCGAAGCGGTCTCAAACCACGTTTATAACGGCGGATCCGGCTGATTTCAGGCAGAAGGTGCAACAGGTGACTGGTTTCAGTTTCGGCGAAGGGCAGGTGCCGGTGAGTCCGATCCTTAAGCCCGAGCCTCAGAGACCCGGCAACCGGTTGCATAACGTTGCTGGCCCAGGATTTTTACCGACGCTGGATACCTCGGCGGTCTTGTTGGATCATCAGCAACCATTTTCTGGAGCAGTTGTCGGGTCTAGCTTAGATTGTGAAATTTTCCCGAGCTTTCCCACTCTAGATTCCTGGAAAGTTTAATTTTTGTTTTTAATTTACTTCCCACCCTAAGATATCGTGGATAATGTAAGGGTTAGGAATGCTAATGAAAATTGGAGTGGGATAATTAACTTTACTACTTTTATAAAATGGTATTTTGCACTTTTAGATCATGAATTTTAAATTTAATCCAATTAAACATTTGAATTGTTATTACTAGATTGTCTAATCTTAATTGATTTCGAATATTTAACTTTTTTAGCTCATTTTTTTAATATTTAATTATTTTATTGATGTAATTTTAATTTAAATTCTCAAATTATTTATATTTAAATATTTATAATCATTCTATAGAATATTCGTGTTTGAGTTAGGATAAGAATAATATTCATATATTTTTGTTTTTTAAGTTGTATAATTGAATTTTTTATTTTCTCACAAATAATTTTATTATTTAATACTTAATTTATGTTATTCTATAGAAATATTTTCTAATTTATAATAATATTTCTTTATTCTGTGTTCAAAATATTATTTATCAAAATTTATTAACTACTTAATAATTATGAATGCTTATATTCTCTCATTTTTATAAATTAAATAATCAATATTTATTTTAAAAATATAACATTTCTATTTGTATTTTTAAGTTTTATTTTCCTTTCACTTCACAATCATTATGTTTAATCCCACTAAATAAAAATCTTAATAGAAAAGGAAAAAGCAAAATCCATTTAATAAAAGGGTAAATTACACTGTTTCTTATTGTACTTTATTCTTTCTCCTATTTTGCTCACCGTACTTTTAATTTTTCTAATTTGATCACTCATGTTTATACATTGAAAAAATTTGGTCACTCTGTCGTTATCTCTCTATTAAGTTGGTATTTACTCATTGATTTAGTGCAATTTATTTTTTCAGAATTCAACTTAGCAGCTAAATATATACATTTTTGTGTTCCATTGAATTTGTTCTACATTCCATAGATCATCTGTATATGTTGTTATTAGGGGTGAGCATTCGATCGAGTGGAATCGATTCAAGTAAAAAAATTTGAGTTATTTGAGTTGACGACTCTTATTTTATAATTTAAACTTTTGATCTAATATTTCTTCGAGTCAAGTCGAGTTTATGAAATTCGAGTCGACTTATTCAAGTCTCTATTTAAATTTAATTGTAAATATTTATAATGTTATGATACTATTTGATTCCAATATAAACGGTTTTCTATACCCATATACATATATTTTTTCTTTATATTTTTCCATATGTTATATACATATATTATGTAGAGTTGGGGGACTTAACTCAAACTTTAAAATCAATATACTAATTACTAAAAATTTCAAGTTATTCCAGTAATATTTTATAATTCGACACAAATTTGAATTTTTTTCGAGTCGAAAATTTAATTTTCAAATCTAGTTGAGTTTTTCTCACCCCTAATTATTTCTTTGTAAGGTTTGAGAATTATATTCGATGTATCGATTTTGTTATACATCTTTAAAAAAATGGATGTCCCTTATTCCCATATGTAATGGGGTAAGGGGAGATAAGATAGTAGGCTGCCCTCAACAGCAGGTTGATAGCAACTTCCGTAGAAGACCTCCGAATTATGAAATACTCCCCGTGAGACTTAATCCTACGACCTCAAGATTAAGAACCTTGTGCTCTACCAACTGAGCTGGATGATCATCTCTTGTTATACATCTTTGCATACATATAATAATTGTAGTAGTTGTTTATATGTTTTTTCTGAGTCAAGCTTGGTCCATGGCATTGACAGTTCCATATTTCCTATGGGGTTGGACCAATTGATTCATAATCATGAAAGTGATTTAAGATGATTTGGTTGAAATTTGTTGTACTTGTTGTCCAGATCATGATATAGTAGCAAGCTTTAAGGTCGAGAAGCCGGTTTCGTTTCTGGGAGACAATATCGTGCAGCTTGAAAATGACATTTTTGATGAGATAGGCTTTCCCACAAGCAAAGTATATATTTTGATCCCTTTTGTTACAAGGTATGTACTTTGTATTATTTTGGCCTAAACCTGTTTAGTTCTTTGAACCAGGTGGTTATCTTATCTCTCGAACCTGTAAATGAACCGAATGTAACAAAGGTTGTGTTCGGGGCTGATCCTGATGCAAGCTATACAGATCATCTTTGGTCATACACAAATCATCTTTGCGCTTGACTAAATCCTTGTTTGGGGATTCATACTTCTTTGAGGTGCTAAAATTCCCGGGAGGGATCACTGTAATTCCCACGCAAAGCGCGTTTCTTCTGCAGAAAGTGCAAGTCCGCTTCAACTTCACCTTAAACTTCTCTATTTATCGGATACGATTGAGTTTTGATGAACTGAGGAGCCAGCTCAAGGCTGGATTGCATCTAGCCACATATGAGGTTAGGCAAGCTGTCTCTTTCTGTTGATGTTGCTTTGTTATTTTTGGCATTTTAGTGCTTGGCATTTGTATATTATATCATGCACTTTATGCCGAATCTGATTTGTTTTATTTGGCGACTTTCAGAACTTGTATATTATCTTATCAAATTCCAAAGGCTCCACTGCTGCTCCCCCCCATTACTGTTCAGTCATTCGTTCTGCTGACCGCAGGGAATAATCCATCGATGCCGAGATTGAAGCAATTAGCTCAAACCATCACTGGTCCTCATTCGAGAAACCTCGGCCTGAACAATACTGTATTCGGTAGAGTTAAGGAAGTTCGCCTTTCGTCAATTCCGCAACGATCTGTTCATGGAGGTGACGGGAGTTCGAACTTATCGTCCCCTTCTCCTGCTCCTTTGCCTTATCCTATCCACGGTAACCACCATCACCATCACCACAGTGATGGTCTAGCTCCTGCGGTTTCACCTGCTACGTCAACCGAGAAAGGTGCTGCACCTGCACCTGAAGATTATTCACTTCCTCCCGACACAATTTCACCTGTATCTCCATCATAGAAATAAAAGGAGCAAGGGGAAGACTAGAGAGGAGTCTAATGTAGCCCCTGTTGCCACACCCACAATTTCTCCTCATCATTCTGCTGTCCACCAAATGTCCACCCATCAGCATCAGCACCCCAACCTAAACTCAGATCCATTTCCAATGCGACTCCGGCATCCAGTCCACTGCCAAACGTAGCATTTGCTCATGTCAAGCCTCCATCGAAGAGTGAACCAATAAAGAGGTTCCTGAGAGGACACCTTCAGCTCCGCCATCAGCGTTGGCATCTTTACGTGAGTAAACCATGTTTTCTTAATAGTTAAAGATAAAATTTCACTTCTTAGTCTATTCTTGCATGCCAAACTGAAAGTTCTGATCATAAATTATTCGACCGGTTGTTACCATGCAAATAATGTCTGAATATGTTTTCTTGTGCAGTGATTTCAGACTATCTAGAAAACTTAAGAATCATTAGAGTGGTCAGCTTAATCATATTATGATCCATGCTCAGCTTTCTCATGATCTTTGAACTTCGACCATATTTCTAGATGCTTGATAATCGTTACATTGGTCCGTGTAATTCATATTCAGAACCGTGCTCTAAGTTTCTTCTCGGATCACTAGATAATTTGCTACGCCATTATCTTGCAGTCATATCGACTCGTGCATGTATGCTAATATCGTACTTTTGCTGCATCTGCAGGCCTTCCAACTACGCAAGGTGCTTTCACTCCTATTAGCTATTATCATAATATATTTATAACAGAGAATCGACCATTTCTAGTTCCGATCACCTTCAAATGGCGGACGAGAGCAACACGAAAGGCGTGCCCTCATGTTCGGTTGGATATATGCTGTTTTCGTGCTGTAATATTTGAGTTAACAATCAAGTTGCCCCATTTCAGGTCAAAAGTCACATTGGTGGAAGGGCCTATAGATAATGTGATTGCTGCTGTTTTGTGCGTTATCTTTCGTTGAAAATTAGAGGTAAAGAAGAAACAAATCTATATGCATTACTTCCCTTCCTTTTCTCACCTTCTACTTTCTATTCAAGTTTAACTGGAGACGTTTCTATAGATATTCGATTTGCTTGGCAGTGTATAATTAAACATAATTCATTAGGATCATCATTTGAATCGAGTCATGTTTAATGAAGTTCGATTCGAGTCGAACTTATTGTTCGAGTTAATAATTTTATAATTTTTTTATTGTATAGGTGAACTCTAAAAAATGTATGCATGTCGCATGCACTCTCAATCATGGTCGATGCCGATACAAGATTAGAGTTTGAGTTTTAGAAAGTAAATTACATACCCTCTATTTACAATCATAAAAAGAAATTAAGAATTTAACGAAAAGAATCCATTCAATAATTTAACGGTAAAAGAGATATTATTTTATTAGAAGATTGTAGGCGTGTGCACATTATTAATTGGCTACGCAAAATTTGAAAGATTCTACCTTTTATAATCACTTTAAACTATTTAAAAAAGAAAAAAAAAGAAAAATAGTAAAGAATAATTAAAAAGAATTAATATTTCATTTTAAAATCAAATCAAATTTTACTCATTTTTAACTAAAATACACGTGTAAATATACATAATTACATTTAAATTTGAAAAATTCAATAACTAAAAAAATATTTCCTTTATTCAACCTACAATCTAAAAAAGAATTAAAGTATTTTTAAGTAAATATTAAAATTTATTTTTAGTTGAGTATAAAAATAAAAGCCTTAAATATCTTGAATTTAGGTTTTATATATAAATTATAAATTTAATTCATATTCTCTAATTTGATCATTAAATTTAAAATTTAATCATATTGTTTATGTATTTTAAATCAAGATTGAAATTTTTAATTTAAAAAATAAAAGACTAAAATCGATCAAAAAAGTATAGAGACTAAATATGTGATTTAAACATAGTTTAGGGATTAACAATAGAATCTGACAAAAACCTTATAAATCGACCCGCCCCGCCCACTGATATCATTTTGCATCTTCTGAGAGCTAAAAGTCGAGAAGGCTCGGCGTATTTTCTTTTACCGTCCCCAAAAGAGGCACGTAGGCAGCGGCAAACTATAATCTGTCAGACATTTCAGCAAACAGCTTGTGTGCAAAAGATGGAAGACCATTTGCACAATGAAAATCCAGTTCCCCATGTCGTTCTCACGAACAAGTACCTCTCC